GAACTTCCAGTCGTTCTGCAAGTCTGCCTTCCGCCGCTCAACCATTCTACAATTCTGTTCTTCTGCCGTTCTGCCATACTGCCCTTGAACTGCTTTACCATTCTACAATTTCGTCCATTCTACAATTTTTCTGCCATTCTGCCATACTTCATCCGCCCAACCATTCTGCCATTTCGTCCTCCTCTCCTGTCCTTCCGCCCATCAGCCATCACACTGCCATCCTTCCCTCAAGTCATCCTAAACGAAATAATCCGACATGCAAATCGCGGCAAAGTAGGACGAGAAAAATAATATCCTAATCCCCGCCGCTGATGCCAAAACACGCATGGAGCTTGGGCCTGCATGATCTCACGCGCCCCATGAGTCATGCACAGGAAGAATTAAGACGAAGCCAAAGTCCGGGCGCGAATGCAGCTGCACGGACGAATGCCATTATTTCATAGCAGTCGAGTATTTTTTTTTCATTTCTTCAAACGCTGGAGGTCGACATTACTCTGTAAATGAATATCTCAGGGTACTTTATTCACCGCCACAGAAGATGACTATGAAATTCTCAAACGCTCAAACCGCTACTTAAGCCTCTAAAAACATATCTATAAGTAGGGTAAATATCACGGAAAATGAGAACTACTATTGCCTGCTTGTCGGCCATCTAGCGGTAGTACTGCTAACTACACGGATGACGTCAGCACAAGAGGCTCGGGATCAAATGACAGTCACTCATAGCGGGCTGACACTCGGAAATGTTACTTATTATTATCGTTTTCTTTTGTATGAGTATTTTCTCATTATTCCTCTCAATATGAGGAAACTATTTGAGGATAAGAATCAAGGAAAAAAATAGGAAAAAAGAACTAGAGACACTAGTAGCATAATAACGAACAAAAAATTGCGATTATACATATAATCGCTTTTCTAAAAATAGAATACAGTTCCACGAAGTATTTCATGAAGGATATGACTAACAGAATCACAGGGAGATTATGATAATCGCATAATATATGATACTGATAACGAATTTATGCCCAAACTCTTCAAATTACGTGTTGATTTATAATATAATCTTGAACATCTTGCTCTTCATGTTGGCATCATTGTCATAAACACGCATTGCTATAAAAAAATATCATTATCATCATTATCAATATTATCAATTATAAGTCAGAACACTCATCACTCGTTCTCACAATCGTGTACAAACTGGAAGTAATTGATTAAGTTAAGACTATAGAGACGAAATTCTGGCATAAGTTTTTTTTTTAATTTAATCTTCTTTTTTTTTGTCTCCGTTTTGTCTTTTTCAGCTTCGTCTTCGCACCGCCTTTGCCTCCTTCTTCGTCTCCATCTTCATCCTCGTCTTCGTCTTGATCTTCCATGATTTCGCCTTATCCTTCGCCTCCGCTTTCGTCCTCTTCGTTTCTATCTTTTATCTCCATCCACGTTTCCAACTCCATCCTCGTCTTTCATCATTTTCATCTTTATCTCCATCTTTGTGTTCATCTCCACTTCACTTCCTTCCCCATCCTCATCCCCCATAATTATCCTCGTCTTCGTCCCCATCATCTTCATCCTCGCCTCCTTCCCCATCATCACCATCATCCTCGCCTCCCCATCTTTATCCTCGCCTTCGCCTCCGCCTCCGCCCCCGAGGTCGAGGTCCTTCACCAACCAACCGCTCCGACCGCCATTAATCCCCGGTGGCTTGAACTTGTCACCTTTTGTAATGAAGCTGGATATTTCTGTCTCGGAGGCGCTGGGGGGTATTGGGACTGTCGCCTGCGTGTGACTGTGCATGCGAATATGAATGTGTATGCGTGTTCGTTAGCGTCTGGGTATGTGGTGTATGTATATATACATACACCACACACACACAAACACACACACACACACACACACACACACACACACACACACACACACACACACATGGTGCTTGTATGTATGCATGTTATTATATATATACATGTGTAACATATACATATATTTCAAACACACGCACACATAAGTATAAGTAGGTGTGTATATGTATGCTTATGTGAACAAAATATGTGGTGTGTCACTGCGATATGAAAGGAAGGAGAGAGGAAGGAGATAGCCAGGTGGGGGGAAGATAGGATGGAGAGGGGGGATAAAGGAGGGGGCGAATGGAGGGGAGAGAGAGGAAGAGAGGAGAGGAAGAGAGGGGAGGAAGAGAGGGTGGGGAAGAGGACGATTGGAGGGGGGAAGAGGAGGGGGAAGAGGGGAAGAGAGGAAGACAGGAGGGGGAAAGAGGAAAAGATGAGAGAGGAGAGGGAAAAAGAGGAGGGGGGAGCGGGGAAGGGGGAGAGGGGAGGAGACCAGAGAGGAAGACAAGGCAAGAGGGGGAAAGATGGAAGAATAACCCTCGGTATTCATTTCATGTGACATGCGAAACATACGTCATCGGAAAACAACATGGCCACCAATACCTTCAAAAATCATATCATAAATTAGCTCCAAGCAACAGAAGTTTTGTTCAGTGATTTATTATCACATCTTCTGCAACTATCCTACCCCCCCTTTCCGGTTGTATTAGCCAATCCCTTCACTTCAGAGTTCGTCTTTGAGAAGCACATTTTCACAAACATTTATCCTCTTGCACCGAAACTCGGAAGCGAAGGCAAGAAATCAAAACACAAAGATTTATCGCCACCTCCTACGCTTCCAAGAACTTCTACATTCTTGCAAATTTCGCCTGTGACTATCACACGCATTTCATAAACGTTTCTCCTCTTACACCAAACCTCGAAAAAGAAGAAAAAAGAAGAAAAAAGGAAAGAAATTGGAAAAAAAATATGAAGAAGACAAATAATAATAAGAAAAAATTACATCCTGCGCCTCCACACTATCTACAGTCTATGACGTCACCATATCCCCTGGCGTCATCGTATTTGTGACGTCACCAGAACCTCCGCTCCGCTTGAATAAACACTTACGAGAATCAGCTCATCTCCAACGCCCTTTTAAGGAAATGTACAAAAACCAGGATTAACGCTTAATGCTGCTGCCCTTCTGAACGACTGCTAAAACACTCCATCTGCTAATTGAACGCATATCACCAATCAATACGAATTGACTAATGGACGCGGCACACCTCCTTCGTATAAGCGTAATGAGTGTTGTTACTCTGTTTGACTACAAGTTATCGCTGACTGATTAATCGTAATCGATTTAATTGGAAATGATGGTGTGTCATCCTGGGTTAAAACTCCTTCGCAATGCTAATATCGAAACTTTTTTTTTTTTTTTTAATCATATATGGGTAACCGATTATAAGATTCTTATTCTTATTCATCATTAACATCATCTTGAAGGAGAAAAAATAAAGAGAAGAAAGAAAGAAAAGGAAAAAACGAACCAATATGAAACACCGAAGCGAATCCCCAACACAGCTGATTTCGCCAAGACAACCGCTTTACAAAACACCACTTACACAACAAACAAGTATAAACAACGAGAAAAACAACAACAATAAAACGAGTCAGAGACAAGCGTCAAGAAAGCTCTCCCCAACGAGAAGCAAAAATTAGCGGGAAAAATGTAGCATTCTTTGGCTCCTCCGCTCGCGTGTCTCCTCTCGCTTGTTTTTCTTTCGTCTTAAACACCATTTCTTTTAAATTCTTTTTGCTCCTAATTTGTCTTACTGTATTCCTTAAGGTCACTCGGTATCTAATGTTTTTTTTTTTTTTTTTTTTTTTTTTTTTTTTTTTTTTTTGCTTTTGTCAAGTCGTTTTCTGGGTAATTTATTTTAGGCTCGGCGACTTTCATTTTAGTTCTGTCGAGTTATTTTCAAGTTGTTGCGTTTATCTGTTTTTTTAAGTGGTAGGGAATTTTACGGATGTGACGTGTAAGCGTTTGCAGTGTAGAGGTATTTAATGGCTGCGATTACAGTTATTTCATACCTATCTATGTATCCGTTTATTGTATGAAGTTTTTTTTATAGCTGTCATGTGTATCCATTATAGCGTTAGGTTACTACATAGCTGCAACATGTATCCGTTTGTATAGTGTCAAGTTAGTACACGGGTATATATATATTATATATACATATATTTATTTTTCTTTTCTTTTCTTTTTCGTTTTTCTTTTTTTTTCCTTTCTTTTTCTTTTTTTTTCTTTTTCTTTTTTTTATGTATACCTTAGTAGCGTTAAATATATTTTTTAGTTACTTTGTTATCTATTTTCTACCTGAAATCAATCATCACCTTCCTGTTACGCCATGTTGGAAACCGCAACGTGAAATACATTTATCTACGGAAATTCCACATGTCAATTTGCGCTGATTTATTCGTTTTAAGGAAAAGAAAGTTAGGTCCTACTATTTAACAATATGGATAACGTATATACGTTGACGTCTATATGTCATTCTAATATAAAACTCTCGAAACGGTAAAGAAAACCATTTTTCTAATTCAGCTTCAAGAAAACGTACTGCAATTTTCAATAACCTACGGGAAGCGCACGCCGCCTTTCATAGTTTCACTGGCACATTCCCAAAATCAATTCTTTGTCACGATATTTATAAAAAAATGCGTATCATGTATAAAATAACAGACAAGTATACTTTATGAACCCATACCTATCCTCATAAAAAAACGGAAACATGAGGAACAACGTTAGAACGTCAGGTTATAACAACAACGTTATAACAACAGGTTAAAAAATGATGTACATTAAGGAAGTTTCCTCAGCTGTTTCTTAAAAATGTAAAGTGTTGTTTTCTATCGTTAATACCAACGCTCCAACGCTATATTCTCCCAGTCACTAACACGGTACATTCCCGCAAATGATTCACACGATATATTTTCCAAATCACCAATACGGTACATTCCCCCAACCCACGAACGCTGCATATTTCCCCAACCACCAACAGGGCACACCTTCCCTAATCACAAGCGAAGCAAAATCAACTAAAACCCGCGAGAAAAATCAACTAAAACCCTCGAGAAATCTCCCGCAACAGAAACTACCTTCGTACTCACCCCCGTCAGGAGAGCCCAGCTTAGCCCTGGCCGAGGAACCGCAGGACGCTTGCGGGACGGACTTGCGGAAGGCGGCCTTCTCCCTGCGGCGCTGAGGGCTGTCGTGCCTGCGGACAACCACCTCGTCCACGCCGCTGAACGTCACACGGGCCAGGCTCGGCTTCTCTGCAGGAGGCGCTGGCGAAGGAGGGGGTAAGGTGGTTAAGGCGGGGAATTAGGGGTGAAGTGGGATGGGGGGGGGGGTGTATGTATCTACCGTGATTAAAGATTTTTTGTGGACAGTACGTATGCTGCATATAAATATATATATATATATATATATATATATATATATATATATATATATATATATATATATATATATATATATATATATATGTATGTGTATGCATATATATATATAAATATATATATATGTATGTATGTATGTATGGATGTGTGTGTGTATGTGTGTGTGTGTGTGTGTGTGTGTGTGTGTGTGTGTGTGTGTGTGTGTGTGTGTGTGTGTGTGTGTGTGTGTGTGTGTGTTACACGACATGTGCTGTATATACCTTACTACATTAAGTACAATCATGTAATTCTTAGGGGTGGCAGGAAGTAGCAATTAGTCAATGTTCTCTATTTCATTTCCTTCCGGAGATGCATTCGTGAGAAAATTACTTAACATTTGGGTCGACTTATAGCACCAAGACCATAGCACCAAGATACGCTATGAATGAGTTCTTTCCTGGATATTGAAGAACTTGCAATTATAAGACGCCAGTGAAGATTATTGATTTAAATGATAAGTTTATGCAAGACCTAATTAAAACTACAAGGTACTGGTACAAAAAGATAATTCGTTTTGCAATTGATTCGAATAGGAAAGAACGCGAATAAATCATTCCAAAGGCAAGATTAATTATTTAACGTTTTTATTTTACAATCTTAACCGTAAGGTTTAATTACGCATCGTATTTTTTCCAGGAATATTATATATGTAGTCTTCATACGTGCGTATTTGCGGATGTGTGTAAAATATGTTATATTTACTAATAGTCAAACGTATTTGAAATGACAAGAAACCTAAAAATAATAATGAGAGACGCAAAAACACGTGTCCAAACTCTGACGTGTTGAGACATGCTTCGAAAACTAAAGTGAATATGGCATTTATTATGCACAAAAAAACACAAACATATATATACCAAAAACCTGCGATCATAGTTATGTATTTCAGTAGGAGTATCTTTCAGTTACGGAATCAATCCAACCGGTTATGATATTCAGTTACTTTTATGTAAATCATCGATCTTTATTCAATGTAAGCCTAAATCTATCCCAATACCTTACGCAGTAGGTACAATGCGAGGCAACGTGATGGCCAGTTCGGTAGGCCTATCTTTACATCCGCTTATACACCTACCTCGCTGAATGTACTTATTTGTCTTCAGTCTATTCACGAAATATGGTCAGTAGAGAAGAACGCTAATTTCTGGATTTGTTATTTTTCCCAAGCAGTGGTTTATGGAGATAGTGGTATTGAGATACCAAAAACAGTTTCGATATTATTTTTAATTTACGAATTTCATGATGTATATTTTGGGTATAGTAAAGCATAAAAGCTCTTTAAAAAAATTGTACTGTAATACATAAATCAGAGACCACCAACTCAAATGGCTTATTAATAACCCATAGCACTCTACAACAATTCAAGAAAGCGAAACAACTTATCACATTATTATATATTTTTAAACAGATGATAACTTAAAATAAATAACATAAATAAAAAATCAAGATCGAAAGACAATTTCTAGATTATTCTAATTGAAGTTTTCTTTTTTCTTGAAGCAACTATAATTAACGAATGAATGTATGAATGATATGAATGAAATGTGTGCCAAACGTAGGATTAGGAAGTGACCTCCTTGTCTCATTTCGTTTGTGATTTCCTGTCCTTCGGAATTAGGGTCACGGACTTATGTGTCAGTCAAATATTACACATAAAATGGATATCACAGAGAACTTAAACTCATAGCAAACTGAACTCAATATACTCATAAATGGGTTTTGGTTTTGAATCGTTCTGCCGTAATCGTTTTTTTTCCGCGCTCGCTTATCTGGACCGACATGAGATCAGGAAGGCGAAGATTTCCGTAACTCCTAATTTATCTATATTTGACTCCTTAATTATATGTGACTTCTTACTTATCTATAGACGTCTTCTGTTCGTATCAATAACGTTAATACCGTATTAATCCAATTCCTCAGTCCCGGAGATACAAGATACACCCGCCAGACGCACGAATCAGTAAATTTGCCGTTTTACTTGAAAGAGCTTCTACTTGAGTAATAATGATTGGCAGCCACCCACTATAATTTTAATATCACACAGTAATATTAATAAGTAAACGTTCTATAGGCAATTTAACGGAAGGTGACAAACAATCATAAAATATTCGAAACATTAATTCATATTCGAGTTTTCTCTGACAGCTCTTCCTCATGCACGGATGTTGCTATCGAGGATCATGGTAGCAAAGTTCCACTCTGTACTACGGTTCACTATAGTTTAAAGAATCAGAAAGTTTGTACTTAGAATTTTTTTTTTTTTACCCCATTAATATATATTGCATAAGATGGGAATGTTTTTTTTTCACTGTTGAGGGTTACATCCACGATTTGAACATCCCACAACTTAGAATACATACACAAATTACAATACATACGGATGATTTTTCACATACATCTTTGACATGGACATGTTTCGTTACTGTTAAGAATAGAAGTTAATGGTAACTCATATTCTCTATGATGACGTTGTTAATACGTATCAGTACTTGATCCTGAACGCTACCATTGCTCACTAGAGATCTGGATTAAAATCTAATACCGGATTAACTTTTATGGGGCCTCTACGATTCCATACATTTATCATCCAGTTCTTAAATTGCCAATAGAATTTACAATATAACTGCAAAAACCGTTTAGATATGGCGTATGGAGAGCTTAAATAATGAGCATCGATTTATTATTATTTTTAACAAGCATTAAAATATTGAAGCTTATATGGATTTGACTAAAATCTTATTTGTAAGTGTTATACGAAAAGCACCAAGCTCCAGACATGTTCATTATTGATTTATTAAGTTGTTACGTCGAAACCGAAATCCAAACAGCGTTTCTGGATAAAAGACTCGAACCTATTTTACATAACAGTGAGAAAAGGGAAACATAAGGCCATGAGAAACGCATGTACAAAATGCAAATTCCAGGATATTGATCCCCATGTGATGAGTTTTTGAACAGATAAAGCAATATAATTGTTGTGTTGGTTTGTCTAATAAATGAATTGGTTTTCATTGATGTTGATTAGCTGATTATAATACCAAATTAATTGACTAAATTTTATGCACTGTACAGTAATTTACATTTATGCTAATCAAATTAAAACACATTCCGTATCTATAAAGATGCACGGCCATATATTTAAGGCTTACTACACACCAAAATATTAAACCTCAATATTAAACTAAAAACATATTCCTCCTCTATAAAAATGTACTGTTATTTATTTAATTTAGAGTGTTTAAGGGGCACAAGCTCCGTGAAAAGTCAAACCCGAAGCCAATCGGCGGAAAGACAATCAGTCACGACATACCTGTGACAGAGGAAGGTGGCGCTGCGTTCTCCTTGTTGCCTTCGCCTTCGGGTCTCTTGACGGGCGTCTGGACCGTGGGCGTGACGGGAGCCGAGTCGTCGTTATCATTCTCGTCCGTGCGGCACTTCTTGTGTTCATTGATCTCCATCTTCTCCTTCTTGCAGGGGATGAAGTCGTCTCCGGCGCCGATCTCCGCGCTCTCCTTGGCCTGATTCTCCAGCTCGCGCACCATCTTCTCGGGCACGTCGAGGCACTCCTTCTCGTAGGCGTCCACGATGGGGCTCTCGGGCACCTGCGTGTAGCGATTGTCGCCGTCGTTGGTGTCGGGCAGCTTGAGCGAGTTGGGCTGCTTGAGGGCGTTGTTGTTGGTGTGCTTGAGGTTGGCCGCCGCGCCGCAGCTCTCCTTCAGCTCCTTGTGCTTGATGTAGTGCTTCATCTTCCGGCTGTGGAGTGCTAGCTCCTCCTTCCCGTTGGACAGAATTGCATCGTTCATCTTCACTTTGGTCTCTGCCATTTTCTGCTCGATGTCAGAGGGGTTCTCGTCTTCGGATACGTATCCGGGCGAGTCAGGGCTGGAGGGGCAGGAGTTACATATTTCCCCGGCGGCGCTTTTCCCGTCAGGAGAGGCTACGTTGCCATTGTCGTCTCCGGCCCGGTTGTTCACATACGCGTCGGGGCTGAGCTGGAGCTTCGGCTTATCGTAGAACGACTTCACGAACGCCCCGCTGCTCGCTAGTTCATTGATGTTGTTGTTGGTGGTGTTCTTGTCGGGGCTGAGGTCATTACACTGGGGGCTGAGCTGCGTCAGGCCGTCCCCTGGCCACGCCTCGGCCTCCTGGAACCCGCACGAGGAGGAGCTCGGCCGGCGCGAGTGGTAGCCCAGCACCTCGAAGTCTAAGAGGCTCCTCGAGTCCCTCTCCTTGGCGAGCTTCAAGTCCTGGGCGTCGCCCCGGGGGATGTCGACCTCGAGCGAGCTGAACGACTCGAGGTCAGACTCGTCGTTGTCAATGGACGAGAGAGAGCAGTTGGAGGAGGACCTGATGTGGCGCAGGTGGTTGGGTCCCCCGGAGGAGATCGACGGATGGTGAAGGCGGTCGCTGCCACAACTCCCGTTCTCTGCGGAAGGAGGCGCTGGTGAGGGAAGCCCGATTTCAGCTTTGTCTTTTGTCGGACAGCAGGGGGGTGGGGGAACGAAGGAAGAAAGAGACAGCGATAGAAACACAGAGTGAGAGAGAGAGCTGCATGAATAGATCTCACTGTGAAAAATGTAGAAAAAGGCATAAATCAATAGAGCAACTTAAGGAAGAAAAATCTGTGGTTTTCCAGCGAGAATTCCCTTGCAAGGGTTAGGACAGAGACC